GATTTTCAGAAAAGAGGACAAATGCCTCTAGGTTTTGGGACACATTTAGGAGGACTTTGGGAGGACCTAGCATGCTTAGAGCATTACATATGAATAATATTTTTTTTGAATCAACAGAATAATCTGGTGACAAATTTGCTTTCAATGTTAGCTCCCAACCTCTCAATATTGAATAGGTTTTATTACTTTTAGGAATAGTTTTCTCGAACATCGAGTTGGCAAATCAATCTAAATATGAATAGAAAGACTGGATAATGTTGCAAAAACTCTGCACCTTTGGTAACTTTATGACTGAATGAAAAATGTGCCTCCCCCCCTCCCCACTCCTTCCCTCCTCCCCTTTGCTCTCCTTTGAAAAGTAATTTTTTGTTTTGCAAAGGAAAGAGGAAAGTCAAAAATAATTGGGGTTAGGCTGATTACAGGTGCAGAGCTATTTCTGTTGGGAAAACTCATTTGACACAACAGGAGCAACAATATACATTCTATAAATGTATCCTTGTATGGCTTCCAATTTGTGCTCACAAGACAGATAATTTTATTTTAAAATATGTTATTTATTTTAACATATGTTTTATGTTTTAAAATAAACATAAAACCTGAAAGAGTTGTTAATGTACACAAAAATGTGAGACATTTCAAGCTATTTGAAATTATACAGCTGCCTAGAAACATTAAAAAAACAAAGGGAAGCCACACATCTGCCAGGGAAACCAAAAAATGCTGAATGTAATTTCCTTTTTAATACAGGTAGTCCTCAATTTACAACCATTCATTTAGTGACAGTTGGAAGTTACACTGGCACTGAAAAAAAGAAGACTTATGGCCATTTTTCACATTTAACAATCATTGCAGTATCCCCATGGTCACATGATCAAAGTTCGGACCAGAGGAAGAAATAGGGAATTTAAGACCACACTGTCAAAAAAATAAGCTTTAACTGAGAATGGGAGATTAATAAAGTGGATGAGCAGTGTATTATGCAAATTAACTGCAGTTATTCTAGCTTACTCTGCAGCTTTTTTTTACTGATCACTTGAATAGATTGTGTGAGCCACTGATGGAATGGATCTCAATTTGGAAACCTACCATTTGAAACATTATCTGCAGTTTAGTTTCTATTTGTCAAGAATACAGAGGAGAGATTCTTGATAAGCAGAAAACTTCTTTTCTTTGGGACCTTCAGACAATAAGCAGGGTTGCTCAGGGTTGATATGAGGGGTCTTTAGTGGCCTCTGAGCTTGGTTGTTTTCTTGCTTATTAGCACTGATGATGTTACCTAGTTTGGGTAATGAATTGAACACAAGAAAAACAACCAAGCTCAGAGAGCACCAAAGACCTGCCAAAGTGAACTCTGTACCAGAGGTAGTATTCAGCAGGTTCTGACCAGTTCTGGAGACCTGGTAGCGGAAATTTTGGGTAGTTCAGAGAACCGGCAAATGGAGACCTCTGACTGGAGATTTTATAGTATCCTTCCCCTGCAACGCCCACCAAGCCACGCCCACAGAACGATAGTAAAAAAAATTGAATCCCACCACTGGTTTGGACCCTTGGCCACTGGCGTGTATTTATGACAGTCGGAATGTCCTGGGGTCATGTGGTCACTTTTGCAACCTTCTGCCATGCAAAGTCAATGGGGAAGCCAGATTCACTTAACAATTGTGTTACTAACTTAACAACTGCAGCAATTCATGTATCAATTGTGGCAAGGAAGATCGTTAAACTTGCCTAATGACTATCTGGTGTAGCAATGGAAATTTGGGGATCAATTGTGATCATACGTCGAAGACTACCTGTAAGTAATTCAGAAAGATATTGTTCGTAATACTGACAGGTTTCGTATAAAGCCTTTTGAATTTTGCTGTGTATATATATATATATATATATATAATACTTTAATTCAGACAAACAAATAAAAGTACTTCAATTATGGTCCACATTTGTTCAAAAGTTGGAACTATCTTTTAAATTAAACTAGTTCTAGCATGGAGGACAGCGGATGTTCAGATAGTCCTCAACTTAACAACAGTGCATTTAGTGACCATTCAAAGTTACAACCGCACTGAAAAAGGGACTTTTGAAAGTTTTTCACATTTACAACTATTGCAGCATCCTAATGTTCATGTGTTGTGGTTAGCCGACAGTAGGTGCAGACGGTTGAGGAGAACGAGGACTCAGATGAGGGGCCAAGACCATTCGGGAGTGGACTGCTGCCTTCAGAGATTGTGGGGGCTGGCAGTAGTGATAAGGAGGTTTCTGAGGAGCCTGTGCCAAGTGCGCATGTGCGCAGGATTGCTTGGAGGAAAGAGCAGTTACAACAGCATGGGGGACTCGGGAGTGAGGCTGCAAGGTAATGGCCCCTCCAAGAAGATAAAAGCCAGCTGTGAATCAGGCGTTCTTTGCAGGAAGCAAAGACATTTTGAAACTACAGCCTCGTGGACATTCCAGTATTCTGAGTTTGTATTTGAACATTTTTATCTTGTAAATTATTTCTTGTCTGTTATCTTTTGGCAAGCCTCACACAGTTTGGTAACACTTGTGCTTATCACAGCTAATTATTTTGTAAAAACATTACAAGATTTTTGTTCCTTTTGGATTGTGTTTGATTTATCGGAAAAGGGCGTGGGTCAGAACATCATGTGATCAAAATCCACATGCTTGGAAACTGGCTCATTGCAGTGTCCCAAGGTCATGTGATCCCCTTTTGTGACCTTCTAACAAGCAAAGTCAATGGGGAAGCCAGATTCACTTAACGACTGAGTTCCAAATTAACAAATGCAAGGATTCACTTAACAACTGTGGCAAGAAAAAATGTTTTTTTTTTAAAAAAAATCACTTAACAAATGTTTCACTTAGCAACATAAATGTTGGGCTCAGTTGTGGTCATAACTCGAGGACTACCAGTAATATAGATGTAACATGAAGTGATTTCCTAATTCCATGAACTGCTCTACAGATTATATGATGAGCGTAATATTTTAATATGCTGTTTGTTTTGAGTGTATATTTTAGAAAAAAATGATGGTACATTCTTAACAAATCACACTAATAATTATATTGAAAGATGTCCAGGTAACATAGCTAACTGCTAGCCACAATGTGGGTAACGCTTGCTGGGGGAAATAAAGACAAGTGTGTGTCAGACAGGTGTCTGTGATTATTTACTACTTACTTTGTTGTTTGCAAAGTAAGGTAATTTTGTCAACATAGTACAGCTTCAGAAAGTAGCCTTCCACTTTTCAATGAGTTTTTTCTTCACTTCATGAGAGTATTAATAGAGTTATTTTTTGAGCACTGTTGTGCAGCCATATAAAGCTTTGTGGTACAATGGGAACATTTAGAAGCATTTTTTCTTATTTATACAGATGCCTTTTGTAACATCAAAAGCCATATTATGTCCCAAGAAGAACTGACTAATGGTCTGGCCGGGCTTAGCCTGGGGAACTAAATTCTAAATAAAGTTTTAGAATCTGTCTGACATAGCTTTTGTCGGTATCTATCATTGGGAATAATCACAGGGCTAAATGAGATGTAATTTAAGTAAACTCCACTTATGTGCACATTTTTATTGAGCAAATAGCAGCAGGAGAATTGGGATCATTATTAGGCTTACAACAGGAGAAAAATTGAATTATTTTCTGCTCTGATGATAAAAATTTCTCTTTTTCAACATGGACTTTCCTATAATACAAATAAAATGTATAAAATGAGGATTTTCAATGTGACATAGCAAAATGGTTAAATTTCCATTTTTGATCTATTACCCCAGCCCCAAATAATTTCTATTTTCCTTTATAAAATGCATGTTAAATGCAAATATGCGTATCACAACATCTTGTTGGTTTGGTTAATAGTCATACATTCTGGTATCTTCCATATGTGATCGTATTTTGATTTCTACAATGGCATATGAAGTCCAACCAAACTGGAGGGTAACAGTTAGAAAACCTGAGATAGAAGATACATGACAATTGTTGAAAACTATAAGCCTTGATTTCCTTTTCCTTTCTTGGCTACTTTCATGATGGATCATGTGGCTAAAGATACATAGGGATATAACCTGGCAGTTCATTTAGGGGCGCTAAATCTCCCATAAGACCTATAAATGATGTAGGAATATAAAATCTGAAAGAACATCAAATTGATGCTATTCCAAAAAAAAAAAAAAAAATAGCCAGAAGGGTAAAGAAAAAATGGGGTAGCATTATATCAATTTTCAGATGTTGTATATCTACATAAAATTGGGAATAAAATAAGATAAATTTGAAAAAAAGAAAATGTATTGTCTATTTAGGTTACACTATAGCATGACATTTCTAAAGTGGAGTATATTTTACTGAACTTTGAAAGGTAACAACATGTCTATACAAAATTTTCAGCAAGGATTTATATTCATATTTTTAAATGTAACTCCAACAAATTTATTGTAATACTATCATGAACTCATTCCACTGCAAGAAACAAATATTGGTTAGAATTTGATAGGGAAGGCTTAGGATATTAAATTTGAAAAGCAATGAATTATATGTGTTACTATCAATGTACTCTGAAGCCAAAGAAGATTGATCATGGCTCCCTATTTTGAATAGCTCATATTTCTGTAAGTGCCTCAACATTTGTCTTAAGGTATACAACTACTCTTAAATCATTTAAATTGTTTCATTTGGTTCCAATCTATTCAAAGCAGAATAAGATGCTTTTTGAAGAACTCATGGCAAACCAAGATCATAGAATTTACCCTGAAATAAGACTAGATTGGCCCCAGGGATTCACAGGGTTTCTGAAAAGTAAGCAATAGGGAGTTTAGAAATGTTTATTCTTAAATATATGTGGATAAGAGAGTCGCTGTAAGTTTTAAAAGTAAGGATATTACTGTTTCATAGAGGTTTTTTTTAAAATTTCATACTTAAGTCTTGGACATCTCAGGTGACTATTAATTTCCTTATGTTTTTCATCTGAAACCTGTTTGAATGAACTATATTCCTATATTGATTTTTAATCAGGTGGTTGGTGTGGCACAAGCAATCAACAAAAAATCTGGTGGTGGAGCAACATTCACTGAGCAAGATGAGAAGGTATATTTTACAATTTAATTTTTAGTAATAAATGTTACCATGCCATCTAAAGTCCAGACAATTCTGGTAGGAATTCATTCATCCTTTCTAAATAGAATTTGTGATGAGCGTTTGTAGGACATCAGAATTAAAACGTGAACAAAAATGGCTCATGATCTCAACAAGATTCAGTTCTTACTTTTAAAAATGGAGGCCTACATTTAATATTTCACACAAGACTGAACATTGTCTGCATCTGTTTTTGTGTTTGCAAAATCACCACAACTCTTTACACTAGAATCTAGTTGCATGTAATATTGGTATTTTAAGACATATAAACAGCACTTAAAATAAAGTGCTTAGGAATTGGAAATAAAAAGCTTGTAAATGCTCATGCATAATTAAATAAAGGCGCATTTCCAAATACAAATCAGACTGTTAGAAGTTTGGGACTCCAAATCTGATAATCTTTAGTTTTATAACTTTTGATGTCCAATTTACAGGATTTTGCTGCTTACTTGGCATTTTGTGGAATTGTTCTTCACAATGCTCAGCTCTATGAGACTTCCCTTCTTGAAAACAGACGCAATCAGGTGAGGTAAAGATGTCGTCTCTATGGGTGTGGTGTGTATAAGGGATATACTATACTAAAAACACTTCTTTCATGTTTTTTTCATGTGCATCAGGCATAGCCAGAGGTGGTATTTAGCAGGTTCTGACCAGTTCTGAAGAACCGGTAGTGGAAATTTTGAGTAGTTCGGAGAACCGGCAAATATCACCTTTGACTGGAGATTTTACAGTATCCTTCCCCTGCCACGCCCACCAAGCCATGCCCACAGAACCGGTAGCAAAAAAATTTGAATCCCACCACTGGGTATAGCTAATATGTATGATATGCAGTTTTGAGTGTACTTGGTGCCATAATTGGTAGCTGGTCTCAAAGGAGCAGGAGATGTTGGCAGTATCCATTGCCATCTTCCTGCATTGAGATCTAACTTTGAAAAATGACTGGGGATAAGGAATAAAAGGTTGCATATATTAGAGAAGGAGATGACAGAAACTACAGAAGCTTAATCTAGCAGCTAAGGGCAGGTATATAAGCATTTCCTCCACAACAGTCACAATTTATCATGTGGCCCCTTGGGAAAATGAATTGCCCACCCCTGCAGTAGACTCCAACTAAACCTTTATGTTATCAGCTACTAAGGTTGAACTACAAACATAATTATTCCCAGAAGATGATGTGATTTCATCCTACTTTCTATCAAGGGATTCATACATAAGCCTAACAATTCCTGACAATAAAATGTGCCAGTGTACTTTGTAGTATGGCATTGAGGAGGGAAGTTTAATTCTTCCCTTGTTGGTTGCAATCCCCACCAAAATCTCAATATAGACCACTTTTATGCTGGACTTCACTGGAAATACTTTTTTCCAAATGTAATGGCTGTGGTGAGGCACCAATTGGCTGGAGAGTTCTGCTGCCTGCATCACGCTAATGAGCTGGAACATTTATACCTATTCTAACTACAGGTAATTCTTTTTTTATTAATTTTTAAAGACAAACATAAACAAACAAAACATAAAAACATCAACCTTTCTTCCATGAGTATACAAGCAGTGTGCTGGTTGGTTTACAAATTTTTTGTGCATCCATTTCATAGTCATCAATTACAGTTACATTGCATAATAACTCATATTCTCAATCAGAATTTAAATATCCTAATATTATTAATCAATCATTTGACAATAACTTTATTCATTCATATTTTGCGAGATAACTATAATTTACTTAGTATTATTTTATAACAATTCATATAATCCTCCCAAATCTATCCTAAAAATTTTTTATAGATATAGTAAAAAAGAAAAAAAAATACATGTTTATATATTTATTATTTCCTAAGATTCTACATATTTCATTATTGTATTTTATTATCTAACCATTGATAGAAAAGGTACCAAATTTTATAAAACTGTTTATCCTCTTGCTCTCTAATTTCAAATGTCAATCTACTCATTTCAGCACATTCCAATATTTTCTTAATGATTTCCTCCTGCGATGGTATTTTCTCATTTTTCCAGTTTTTAGCAAATACAATCCTAGCCGCTGTTAATACATTTACAATCAGGTATTTCAAATCTTTGCTATATGTATCAGGTAAAATTCCTAATAAAAATATCTCTGGTTTCAAATCTATATGTTTTTTTGTCATTTTTTCCAACCACATGTGGATTTTAGTCCAGTATTTTCTAGCATCCGCACAAGTCCACCATATATGGTAATATGAGCCAGGTATCTGATGATATTTCCAACATTTTTCGGATTTGTTCTTGAACATTCTTGCTATTCTTTTCGGGGGGAAATGCCACCTGTAAAACATCTTATACAAATTTTCTTTATATGCTGTTGACATTGTCATTTTATAATTTTGAGACCGCAATTTTTGCCATTTCTCTAAATCAATCCCATATCCAAAATTCTTCCCCCAAGCAATCATAGTTTCTTTAACTTGTTCTTCTTCTAGTTTAATTTCTAATAAATATCCGTAGTTTTTTAATCACCTTTTCGTCAGTACCTGTCAAAATCTTATCTAAGTCAGTTAATTTGTCATAAAATCCTTCTGTTTTGAAATCTTTATCATACCTTGAGTGTATTTGCGCATATGAAAACCAATTCATCTTTATACCTTGTTCCTCTAGATTTTGCATCAATTTAAGTTCACCCTTTTCATTCAATATTTCCCCATATCTAACTGTTTGTTCCTTCTTATATATTATAGGATAAGAAAATGCTTCTATAGTCGATAACCAGACTGGAATTTTCGAATAACATTGTCTTTTAATCTTCTCCCAATTTAACCACAAAGACTCCCGTATATGGAGTCTTCTAAAATATCCCTGTATTTTAGTTCCCTTGTACCATAAAAAAGCGTGCCACCCCAACAACAAATCATGTCCTTCTAATGTCAACAATCTAGTATTTCTTAATGTTATCCATTCCTTCACCCACATCAAATTTGTAGCTTGGTAATACAGCTCCCAATTAGGCAAACCAAATCCTCCTCTAATTCTAGCGTCTTGCAAAAGTTTTAACTTTATTCTCGCTTTCTTACCTTGCCATATATATTTCAACACAATTTTATTTAAATCTTCAAAATAGTCTTTTCCAAGCCTAATTGGGATTGTTTGAAACAAATATAAGATTCTGGGTAATATATTCATCTTGATTGTTGAAATTCTCCCTATTAATCTAACTACAGGTAATTCTTAATGTACAACCAGTCGTTTAATGTCCCTTCAAACTTACAATGGACTCAAAAACAGTTATTTATGACCCATCCTGTTTACAACTGCCTCACTACCCCCATGGTTGCATAATTGCATTTCAGGTGCTTGGCAATTAGCTTGCATTTATGACAGGTAACAACAACAGTTGGATGATTGTCTTTTGTGAGATTCTTTGCTGTTTTCCAGAACAAAAATGGTAGACATAAATTGGATATGCTGGATTCAGACTTACTACTATATATTTCACTAAACAGTTATCATAAAATTAATCGTAAAATCAAGTCTGGTCATATGATGACTTAATTTATGACTGCAACAACACACCACCAAAATTATGGGCTAATTGTGCTTGTAAATGAAGGCCTGACTATATTCTGTAATCCTTATTATAACCAGAACATGAGAAGCATCTTGATCCACCATCATCCACCAGTCTGAGTTCACCTTTCTACATTAACTTTGCAATTAGGGACTATGCCCTCTGGATTCTTTTAACAGAAAGATTGGATTCATCATAGAGCTACTGTGTTCTGAGAAAATGCATTTTTCCCATGTCATTCAATGGGAAAATAAAAGTAAGAAGAAATTTGGAATACAGTATATTGCTTCTATTTATGTATTCTTCTTGGGATAGATCAAATGCTTAAAGGGAAACAAAAATGAAGGAAGATACAGTCAGAACAACTCGTTCTTCCTAGTCATAAATTCCATATTTTGGAATGAGCTTGAGGTGGAATAAATCCTGTTCCTTCCTGTTCTGTAAATTTGTTCAGACACCAAGGCTCCCCAATATGTATTAATAGGGTGTTTACTATAACTGGTACGGTAGAACTGTTCTTTCAGTATGCTTTGAAGGGTGTGACATCTACTTATGTACTTTGTTAAAGGATTACTTATGTTCTACTACTTTTTACAGAGGGAAGTATGTTGGCTTGCCCTTACCAGTATGTAAAAACATTGGTAGGAATCAAATGGGTGGATAGGGCTCCCAAGCTTTCCCAGGATTTTAAAGTTGTTTGCAAAAACTGTCAACATACCAGCTTAAGATCTTTACCAGATCTGAAATTCTGTGTTACTTTGCTTTCCTAAGCAGTATCTCCTGCTTCTTATTAACAGCTTGAGAATTGCCCTAAAAAATTGTTTCATCCACTCATGCTACAATTTTCAGAGAAATGAAATACACATTGAGTCAATGAGTTAAACATCATTAGATATAAGCCTTCAGTAGTTTATGAATATATTTAGTAAAGAATATATTTGATTAAAACAATCAAATATTCTGTTTCAGAAGTTAGGCAAATGTTTTTTGTTTTCTGCACTTATGAATTCAGATGATAAGCATTATCATCAGATAAGCATTATATTTACCAGTATTAGTTTGCATACTTCCTTTTCTCATCATTTTCAGAAATTGCTTGTTACTTGCTCTTCCACTATTAGGAACCTTTGGATTTACAAGTTTTACAGTACTGGGTCAGTAACTTCAATTCATATTGAAAGAAATTTTAAGCACATGTTTAATAAACTTAAAATGGTGGGGGGAGATGAGCAGTAAGATGGTGATTGTAACTTTGAATTTTGAAAGTTATAAATGGAATAAGGATCCAGAAAAAATGAAATAAGATTTTGGAACCCTTCCCATTGGAAAACGCTTTTGTTTTGAATTCTTTAAAACAATCATATAAAAGAGGACTTTAAAAATGAGAACTAGTAAGAACTAAAGATTATAATTAAAGGAGAAGAACATTCAAACACAACTTATAAATGCAGAATACAAAATAGATAGACTGTTTTTAAAGGATCCTATGGAAGAGAAGCAAGTTTTATCTGACAACATTGAGACTAATTTGGAAGTGGATTTAAAGATGACAAACTATAAGAATGACATGGAAAAAGATGTTGCACTGGATATACAAACCACCTCCCCCCACTAATGTCTTAATAATTAAAAGGGATATATAAATAAACCAAGAGAATGACTAAATAATTTTCCTGAATTCGATTTACAAAACAGGCTTGTAAATGTTTTGAAGGATTTTGTGAGAACAGAAAGAAAAAGTGAAAATAAATCAAGTTCTTGGACATTATTTGAAATTACTAAAGATCAAGATTATTAGGAGTAAAATCTGAACAAGGTTAAAATAGATACATTATTTTTAGTAACTCTTAATGAACCTTTGTGATGTCATGGATGAAATGACAAGACTTTTAAGGATTTGTTTATAGATAAGAGAGAGAATGTGAGAAGGAGATCATTTGCTATATTTTAAGAAGAGGTGATAAGTTATTAAAATTGTTTATTGTTTGTTGTGATAAAGAGGGAAGTCATTTCTTTATATATTTCTATTTTTTTCTTTTAGTAGGTATTTGTTTTATCCTTGCAGTTGTAATTTTTAATAAAATTCATATTAAAAATATTCTGGGATACTATCATTGGAATCTATCAGTATCCCTTTGATTGGCGGCAGGTCCAATTCCAGAGAAGAATTAATTTGGTTAAGTAGGATCATCTACTAACTTAAAATTTTCTATCATAGTTTAGTTCCACTGACATTATTAGACTGTGTTTACTCAAGTTGGAAGAAGACCTCGGAGGTAAAATTACAAAATACTGCCCTATCTTTTACAGGCTTGCATTATTTGGTTTTTACCAAAGCTAAAGAAATGGTCATGTAGCAGATAATATTTATTGATCTGTAGAGAAATAATGCTGAAATTTTTCCTTAGGGGAACCTTAAATAAACTTTTGGAGGCAGCTAAATAATCTTGTTTGTATAAAATATCATAGAACCTTTATCATAGATGCATATATGAAGCATATGAAGCATATGAAGAACGGTTACAGGAACTGGGCTTGGCTAGTCTAGTGAAGAGGAGGACCAGGGGAGACATGATAGCAGTCTTCCAATATTTGAGGGGCTGCCACAGAGAGGAAGGGGTCAAGCTATTTTCTAAAGTACCTGTAGGCCAGACAAGGAATAATGGATAGAAACTGAACAAGGAGAGATTTAATCTGGAAATAAGGAGAAACTTTCTGACAGTGAAAACAATCAACCAATGGAACAGCTTGCCCTCGGAAGTTGGTGGAGTGCCATCACTTGACACTTTCAAAAAGAGATTGGACTCCCATCTGTCAGAAATGGTGTAGGGTCTCTGGCTTGGGCAGGGGGTTGGACTAGATGACCTATAAGATCCCTTCCAACTCTGATTATCTGTTAACTGTTAACCACATCTGATTCCTTATTCTGCCTAAAGCAATATTATTGGCAGCTCTGAAGTTTTGGATAAAAACCCATAAAGGCTTAAGCTTTGCCAGATAAGTATCCCTTTGTGGATCAACTGATCTCAGTAATAATCTCAGTCATAGCATGCTGTAATATACTATCTTCAACTTTACAGGAATGTAAATCCTAATTTTTGTCTGTTAAACAAAAGGACATGGGTTGGTATGCTGCTGATTTTATTGTGAATGCACTTCGTGTATTTAACTTACGTCAAATAAATTCCCTAGTAGATAAGACAAATTTCCTTTCTTCTCAATCAGTTTGAAGATGCAAATTCTGTTTCAGAAACTATATTATTAGGGAGAAAACAAGACAGTTATTAATCCAACCTGACTGAAATTAAATTAATTTGGGAATTTTTATTTAAAATGTTACAGCAGTTTGTTTTGTAACTGGAAGTAGTTTTATTTTTATGCCCTTGCATATACCTTAAAATGTAGCTATTAGTTATAAGTATTCAAACTTTTAGCAGTTTAGTAGTGGTATTTTATTGCTTCACTGGATTCTTGTTTCTTCCTATGTAACTTAATTTTTTTGATAGATTTCCATTTGTACTCTGTAAATTCTACTGTATAACTGTATAGTTAGTGACCATAATGAAGACAGTCTGTTCTGTTTGTCATTATAAATTGAATGCTATTTTTCTTTGGTAGAAATTCAAAATATAAATCTAATTTCTTTAGTGTCCTTTTCCTCCTGCTTTCCTCTTCCTAATATCTGGCAAATATTTATAGTTATTCAGAATCTTAACATTATATGAATAATTAGAAATTTATGTCTCCTTGGGTTGTTGTTTTCAGAGATATTTCCTTATCAATTCCTCAATCTCTTAACAACAGCAGATATACTAATATAATTGAAAAGTTTTTAAAAGTGAGGGAGATTAGAGAGGTGCCTTGAAAGTAGCCTATGTAGACTTCCGGTTTGTCGGCTTCGCGAGCGGCAGGGATTTGCGAAGCTGCGCGATCCCTGCCGCGCTAGCCGTTTTTGGGGCTCCGACCCAGCCGGGTACGGAGCTAGGCTGCCCTGCAGGGGCAGCTGAAGGTAGGGGGGATCCGGAGAAGGGTTTGGGGGTGCTGCAGACTCCCTCCCTGGCCGGCAGAACTCCCTTTTCCCAGGACGGTGCAGCGGCGGTCTGTAATGGCCGCCACAAAGAAGCTGGCAGCCGGGTAAGAATGCGCAGGAGGAAGTGGAGAAAGTGATTGAGAGGAGAAAGTTTTTCTTGGCTCCTAGGACTCTAAGACATATCTAATAAAATTCCTGAAAAGTATGACTTTCTGAATAATACCTGCCAGAAGAGGAAAAAAGCGGCTGTTTGAAGGTGCTGAAAGGATAGCTTTCCCTCTTTTCCTACGGAATAAATAACTGGATATTAAGAAACCTATTTCTTTTAGGTGAAAATTGGTTTTAAGCGATGAGTGGGAAGAGAGAGGATTAAAAAGAAAACATTTGTATGCTAAGACTTTGTTGGAGCAGATGCCTTAAGGATTTGAAGACTAGAATATATTGCAATAAGATTTTAAACAGATTTGGACTTTCTTTCTCTTGGATTGATATTACCCCAGAAGGAGAAAGTGAGAACTCTGCCTTGGTTTGGACTGACTGATAACTTTGGGACTGTTTTATTTTTTTTATTTTCTTTTGAATATTCTGGTTGTTGTAAGAAGAAAGAAGGGGAAAAGAAAAGAAAAGATTTATAATGGCTCTTTCTGTTGAGGAACTAAGAAAAGAATATGAACAAGCAAAAAAAATGGTAAAGATGGTGTGGAAGAAGCTTTCCTTTTCTTAGAAATGGCGCTTATTAATTATCAACAAACATTACAACAGATGAAGACAGCAGAGGAACAAGAAAGAAAGAAAGGAGCCATTTTTAATGAATCTCAGAACTTGATCCAGAAAGAAGGAAGAGAGAAAGAAAAGAAAAGAAGAGAAAAGAAGAAAATTAAAGGACTTAAGGACTTAAGATCTAAAAAAACATTTAAGAAAGGGAAAAATAAGGTGCAAAACCAATATGATGATAGTAAACAAAAGGGAAAAGGAATACGACAGAGAAGGGAAGCTGGCAAGGCAGAGGCTAGAAGAAGGGGGGGTAGAAAGGTTTGTTGGGAGAAGAAAGAAAGGGAAAAGGTGGAGAAAAGCTACAATGTTTTGAAATTAAATGAAAAAAAGAAATTTTTTTTGGATAATGGATAAAGTATAATTTTTTTTTAAAAAAAAAGATTTTGCAAGGTACATAAGATGAGATGGTAGTATTGTAATGATTTAAGAGTTGATAAGAGATTAAAATGTTAAAATGTTTAAAAATGATTGGCTTTAAAACTTAATAATAGGGGAGGTTTAGAATATTGTTTTAATTAAAGAGTTTAATAAGACTATGGTATTGATGTTATTATAAAATTTTTATTATAGTATCTTTTTTTAATATTTGGATTTATTGTCTAATTATGTACTTAATTATGTTGGATGTATTAGTTAGATAGAATGTACCAAGCAAAATCGGATTGGGTATTAGATATCATTTTAAAGATTAATTTGATTAACTTAGGGGGGAGATAGAAAGGCATCATACTCTGATTAATGATTTCAGGAGAAACTTATTTTCTTTTTTTTTATAAGGAATGAGACAAAGGGATGATAAAAAATGGACAAAAGATACAAATATAATGATTCAAATTAAGATGATTAATTAAGATAGAAGTAAGAAGTGTGAAATATGTGGGGAAGTTAATATAGAAGGCTTAGAATGGTAAATAAAATAAGTAATGATATGTAAGATGAGCATGAATATAATTGAAGTCTATGAAGAGAGAGACACCTGGGTCCAAGTTACTTTCCAAAAAGATTTTTTTTATGTTTTGTGTGTTGTGTGTATATGTTTTTTTGGGGGGAGAATTAGTTAAAAATTGTAGAAATATAGATTGAGAATAATGGTAACTAAGTCAGAAAGAAACAGATGAAATAATAATAATGATATTGAATAAGAGTAAAGAGAAGTAAAGAGAAATTGAATAAGAGGTTTTGGTATGTTGTATGGAAATGGTTTAAAACAGAATTATAATTTATCTGACTTGTTAAATTGACAATGAAAAAAGGTTTAAACATGTAATGAATAATGACAATTTGTGTGTTTTAAAAATTAATAAAACTTGTTTTAAAAAAAAAAAAGAAAGTAGCCTATGTAGAATTGTACAGCACTGTCAAACATCATGAATTGACCACAGGAAATATTTATGCCATTTTATATGATGTCATAAATGGTTTTATAAAATTTGCCAAATTACATTTTGTAATTTAGCTCATCTGAGGTATCTTGGTTCAAAATGTGTTGCTCTATGATGTACCATTTTGCCCAGTTAAAGGTTACTCTTTCAGCCCAACATATTGCACAAGATTGTTATTTAGGAATAAAATTGAGGGTGTTTTTTTTTTACATAGGGTGCCTTGAGTTCCAACTGGAAGATGTTTCTTTTAATGTGCTGAATAATACTATAGTAGAATGCAAAACGTAAGGGCCTCTTCCTGGACAAACTGATATATAGATTCTGTAGGAGGAGACTGTAGATGCTCTGTAAGGTCAAAATGTATACACAATTCTGGGGAGGAAATGTAAGTGTAAAACTGTAATCAATATGTGGGCAGAGGTCTTGCAAAGTTTATACTGTTCAAATTGCAAGCAATAATTCATTATTATTTTTTACATTAATGCCACCATATGGTTTTCTCAAAAAAATCCAAGGGGGGTGGGGAAATCTGCCTTCAAGATGATTAAAGTATGATTAATTTGACACATTTTTTTCCTTTCGTTGCAGGTACTTCTTGATCTTGCCAGTTTAATATTTGAGGAACAGCAATCATTAGAAGTCATTTTGAAGAAGATAGCTGCCACTATAATTTCCTTCATGCAAGTGCAAAAGTGCACCATTTTCATAGTGGATGAAGACTGTTCAGTAAGTACAGACCCTGACTGTATTCTCAACTGGCTAATTGTCAATTGTGTCAATGGCAAAGTGCGTATCTGCACAATTACAGATACCAGTAGTGTTTTAGTCAGTTGGATTGGTTAACAGTTTTTGATGCCTTGTTAAATCCTAACATGACTACTACATGGCAACAAATACCCTTAGGTAGTATTAAGAAGCTTAATATGAAATTAGGCTGCCAACCACAATATAATATTAAAAACATATGATGCCCATGTTGAAAGGCCAGCATTAATTGTAAATTGGTTATGGGTACAATTTAAGGCATTGTGTTGACCTTTTGCATCCTAACATACTTGGGCTTGGCTGTTAGAGATGGCTAATGTTAACATGATCCTACTCAACCAAGGTCAACCAGAGAAACCCTATTGAAGACGCTGTCATTTCCCAGGTTTGTTACTCTGATTCATTGGAAAGAACCATCTCTTTTATGGAAGCTAGAGAAAGCAGACTTTGGGAAATGCACAGGTATAAAATTGCCTATTTTAAAAAGGATAGTATATGAATCATCATCATATTCAACATACAAGGTGAAGCTCATTAAGTATTAAATTAAATTGAGCCTAATATACTGTATAAATTAGAAAAAATGGTGTAAACATTCTAATATGTTGGTTTTGCTTATCCTGGCTCTTAAAAATGCTTTATGAAATACAGTAAACCATTGATAGTTTTTTGAAGTCATTTTTCATGAGGCAGAAAATAAATGAATTACCCTTTTTACAATATAAACAATTTTACTAAACATTTTAACTAAGCCCAAACTCTGTTCTTATATTTAGGATTCATTTTCCAGTGTTTTTCACATGGAATATGAAGAAATAGAAGATTCCAGTGAGACCCACAAAAGGTAAAAGGATGAGATTCAAGAGATTTTCATGGCTTTACGCAGATACTTTTCCTTAATAGTACAAGCCAGCAGAGTTCAGCACTCAGAAACATGACCAGCCCGACCCCATTTAAAAGGATAGCTTGTACATTGCATTAGTTTCAGCGAGATTAGCAAAGGGAGGTGGTGTTCATTTCGATCAGCTTTAACAGTCAATTCAATTTAGTTTATTACAGTCATAGACCAGAGACCAGAACAAATGAAAACACTCAGTAAATGTACTATTAAAAATTCTAGTATAAAATAATAAATAACAACTAAAATCTGTGATAAAATCCAGTCTGTCAATTATACATGGTCTAACTATATTAAAATTACAATCCATAAAATGTGTGGCCCGCTGTAGGTTCAACGCTAAAAGGGAAAGGGGTAAGCAGTGCAAAGGGTGTGCCACATTTGTTACATAACATGGACACGTGTTTCTGATGAATCCCCAGTGCAGAAACTAGCCACCTGTGCTGTAATTATGGACTCTTCATCTTTAAGCACCCACTGGAGATAAGCAATGTCGGAATGGCCAGGATAGCTAGCAATTATTGGCAGAATACATTTTTTCCGACTCTGTGCAAAAGGAACATCAAAGAGTACCTGGCCCACAGTCTCCACATCTCCTGAGCCACAGGAACAAAGTCAATGGTATCAGCATTCACAGATGGAAGAGTTGGAGATGTGGCATATACATCTTTTTCTTCTTTTTTGGAACAATGTATCACTTTACACCAACAATTTGTGTGTGGGGGGGGGGGGCAACCTATAAGTACTTTTTAATGTGTGCTGACTAACTTGTCCAGCATAAAATTCCCGCCTAGAAATGTGGAAAGGGAAGTAAGAGATGCAGAGAAGCCTGCCATTGATTCTGCAGAGGGCATTCTTTTGCCAGTAAACCTTCTGTTATTTGAGTGCTCTGAAAGACCCTGAATCTGATGAAGCTTAGAAGGCAATTTCCCAGTGCTTCCTTTTTCTTTTTTTTCTTCATGCTGGAGATGAGTGGCTGCCATCTAGTGGCATTATAGGTGCCTTGGCATCTACTGTATGGGTCTTGTGTGGCTCACAGCCTTGCAAGCGCTTCTTGTTTCTGATATTCAATTATTCATCAATTTATTAAAATTCACTGCTGTGAGTGTTTCCAAAACTATAATAAACAGATACAAATATATTAAATAAGTAACTTGCTTTTTCTCCAGGAATTCTCAAGGTCATGTACGTGCTACTCTTTCCTCAAAGCTACAGTCTGGGGGAGAGGTTGAGTAGACAAATAAATGAGTGGCCCAAAGTCACCCAAACAGCTTATTCCTGGCTTTCCCAAGACTTAGCCCACCATGCTAACCCCCATGCCACACAGACTCATTCAAAGGGGCTTGTCCCTCTACCACTTCTGTGGATCAGATCTGGACATCCAAGAAATCCATTCAACTTCTCCATTTTTATTACTTAACTCTGCAGCATCCTTAACCAATTATTTAAATTGGTTTAGTTTTGTTGGTTGAACTAACTTATGCAATTGTATTAATTGTGTTCCATCAGAATGAAATGAGGTATCAATTAGATGCATTTAAGATTGAAACGTCAACCAGCCTAGTTGAGTCGTTTCCATATTTACAACCTGAGTAAACTATGAATTCTTATTTCAAGGAGGCCTGCAAATTAATTTTTCTAAAAAAACCAGAACTACACAGTCTAATATTTTGTCTAATATAATAGCTCTTATGCCTTATAAAAAGTCCTTTTTTGTAACAAACATATGAAAGGATAGAATGATTCAAACAGAAAACAGTTAATAATAGCAGATTTATGAAACATTAGTCATGGCAGAGAGATGTTTTGAAACTGTTTATTTTTATTTTTATTTTCCATAACAGTCAAAAGAGCTTTAGAATCTGGAGTCTTCAAAATGCTCTCGTGATCTGCCCAGTGAACAGTGATATAGATGCATGAATTTTAAACGGAAGATTATCAGTCCAGTGCAAAAGTATAGAGTACAGGTAGACTTTGACTTGCAGCTATTTGTTACAATGGCACTAGGAAAGTGGCACTAGGAAAGTGACTTGTGACCAGTTTTCACACTTATGACCATTGCAGAAATCCTCATGGGTCACATGATAAAAAATCGGGCACTTTTCCACTGGCATGTATTCATGACCTTTGCACTGTCCCACGGTCATGTGATCACCATTTGTAACCTTCCAACTGGCTTCTGACAAGCAGAGATCGATGAGGGAAGCCAGATTTGCTTAACAACTGCCTGATTCACTTAACAAATGCAGAAATTTTTTAACAACTGTGGTAAAAAGTTGTATGGGGCGCAACTGACTTAACAACTGTCTTGCTTAGCTATGGAAATTTTGGACTCAGTAGTGGTTGTAAGTAGTACCAAAACAACAATGATACTGTAAAAGTGGGGTTAGAATGAATTTGGTATTTTTTTTAGAGCAAATGTCTGTTTTTGAAGAAAATATTTGTACCCATCAACAAGGCTCTTAAGAAGAATACCAAGTTAGTTATTAGAAATCATGTTTCAGGATTTTGATGAGGGCATTGCAAAAAGTTTTTATTTTGTTCTTAAAATCTTGGGGAAGACATAGTTAAGGAATTAAATATCTAAACTCTGTCCTTGCTTTCAGCTATTCCAATAATGCCTCTAAACACTGATTCAGTATATTAATGGTTTTTCCTTGTATATAATACATTTGTATCAATCCTGATTCTGAGATGACCTTTTAAAAATGTAAAATGTTGATGTTTTTAATATTTATGGTTAGGGACCTCAAAAGTTGGATGTAGCATAAATCTTCCTGATCTCAGGGTCAGGCTTAAGACTGATTAGAGAGGCAGGTGTATATACATCTTCCCATAGGATGCAGGGGCATTTCTTGAAAATAAAGATTTTGTTGAAGGTTATCATGTCTACTTCCCAGAGACATATTATACAATAGATAGTCTGTGACTTACAACAGTTCATTTAAGTAATCATTAGAAGTTATATTATCAATGAAAAAAATGATTTATGAATGTTTTCCACACTTATGACCTTGTAACATCCCCATGGTCACATGTTTTACATTCAGATGCTTGACAACTGACTCATATTGTGGTTGAAGTATCCCAGAGTCCTGTGATTGTCTTTTGTGACTTTCTAACAAGCAAAGTCAATGAGGAAACCAGATTTGTGACTTTCTTTTTTTTCTTTTTTTTAATAAATAAATTTTATTAAATTTACAATTAAAAACATATCGACATTACATACACAAAAGGGAAAAAAACAAAAAAAGAACACTCGGTCTTACAAACCGGAAAGAAAAGAGAAGAAGAGATGTAAAAGAAAGAAAGAAACAAAGAAAGAGAAAGAGAAAAAAGAAAGAGAAAAAAGAAAAAAAAAGTACAGAGATAAACTGCTTAATGGACAATGGGTAATTTAAGCATAGATATCGATAAGATGTGTGTACTCAAATTAAGGTAGGAGAATTGGATCTTGCAGACTGTCAAAAAGGATATTGTCTGTTTTTAAACGCATCCTTTCCCCCCCCCCCCTTTTTTTGATTTGTGACTTTCTAACAAGCAAAGTCAATGAGGAAACCAGATTCACTTAACAGTTGTGTTACTAATTTAACAGGTGCTCTGATTAACTTAACAAATGTGGCAAAAAAACCTCATAAAATGGGGCAAAACTCACTTAACAAATTTCTCACTTAACAACATAAATTTTGGGCTCAATTGTGGTCATAAGTTGAGGATTACCTGTACTTAAGCTACTGAATGGAAAATTACTGGATTAATCATCATAGCCACTAATGTCCCAGAGTTCAAGCATGGTAGCTGTATCCAAAGCTCTCATAAGAAATCTAGCACTGTTTGGAACATTGGCCATTGATACAACATGCTTTCCATATGATTAATTGACCATTAAATTTGCTTCTAAAAGTAGGTAATTAATGTAGTGAACTGAGTCCATTTCTCTTTATATCTCAACAGAGACAATGATACAAACCAAATTAATTATATGTATGCCCAGTATGTCAAGAATACTATGGAGCCTCTTAATATTCCACATGTACGCCAAGACAAAAGATTTCCTTGGGCAGTAAGTAAAATGAGCCAACATACAAAAATTGAATGGGCATATGGTTTTTACTGCTTTGTCATACCATTGTTTGTAGTCAGTCTGCATGATCCTTTTGCTGCAACCAACTAGGGGTGCCACTGTTTCTTCAGCTTTACAGAAGTGGCATTTGCTGCCTGATGTTGTCTTTTCAATTCTGGTTTTGTATACGTTTGTTCTTAAGGATTGATTTTGTGCAACCAGAATTAGCTCCTCTGTCTCCTTTCCTGATCTTAGTCATTGCCAGGCCTTGTTGTTATCTACTTTGCTGGCTAGATTTGATTTTGGTTTTTTGCATACTGGCCATGTAATACTTTGCCTTACCATCTTGGTAAGCTTGAGTCTACTATTTAAGCTGTATATCTTAAGCTGTAATTACTGGAATTGCCTAAATATTAATTGCCTTGTATTTTCTCCACTGAGCTTGGACTTTAAGATCTTCTTCACTGTCATGATGTATTCACTTCAGTGTGCTTGATGTTGTTTGAAGGATGTCCATGCATTTGTAGTGAACTTCTTCATACACACCCTTATGTTATTTCCATAGGGCATTTTGATTCCTTCAGTGTTCATTATTTTGTCCTATTAACAATAAGGATGGCACATTTATCCTGTCCCAACTCCATTGCAATATCTTGGCTATATTATATGAATGAACAGGATTGAGCAACAATGCTACTTCAGATTATCTTTTTCCATATATATCTAAGGATATTCCCAATCATCCTTCTTCCATATAGCTTCAGATCATGTAAAGGAGGTAGGATATCTTGACAGATGTTTTTGATTTGATAGCCGTGGTCTAACTTGTTCAATATTGTTGACAGAGGAATCATACAATGACACACAGTAATGGTGATAGTGAGTCTCCTTAAAAGATTCATCTCTTGATATTTACCTCTCCCAGTGTATTACCATTGACCAGTATTGTGATATATTTTTTTTTAATCAAGTTTTATTAATTTTTAAAACACACAAATTATCATTATTTATTACATGTTTAAACCTTTTTTCATTGTAAATTTAACAAGTCAGATAAATTATGATTCTGTTTTAAACCATTTCCATATAACATACCAAAACCTCTTATTCAATTTCTCTTTACTTCTCTTTACTCTTATTCAATATCATTATTATTATTTCATCTGTTTCTTTCTGACTTAGTTACCATTATTCTCATTCTATATTTCTGTAAGTTTTTACTAATTCTCCCCCCAAAAAAAACATATACACACAACACACAAAACATAAAAAAAAATCTTTTTGGAAAGTAACTTGGACCCAGGTGTCTCTCTCTTCATGGACTTCAATTATATTCATGCTCATCTTACATATCATTACTTATTTTATTTACCATTCTAAATCTTCTATATTAACTTCTCCACATATTTCACCCTTCTTAATTCTATCTTAATTAATCATCTTAGTTTGAATCATTATATTTGTATCTTTTGTCCATTTTTTATCATCCCTTTATCTCATTCCTTATAAAAAGGAAGAAAATAAGTTTCTCCTGAAATCATTAATCAGAGTATGATGCCTTTCTATCCCCCCCTAAGTTAGTCAAATTAATCTTTAAAATAATATCCAATACCCAATCCGATTTTGCTTGGTACATTCTATCTAACTAATACATCCAAAATAAATAAGTACATAATTAAACAATAAATCCAAATATTAAAAAAAGATACTATAATAAAAATTTTATAATAACATCAATACCATAATCTTATTAAACTCTTTAATTAAAACAGTATTCTAAACCTCCCCTATTATTAAATTTTAAAGCCAATCATTTTTAAACATTTTAACATTTTAATCTCTTATCAACTCTTAAACCATTACAATACTACCATCTCATCTTATGTACCTTGCAAAATCTTTTTTTTTAAAAAAAAATTATACTTTATCCATTATCCATAAAAAATTTCTTTTTTCCATTTAATTTCAAAACATTGTAGCTTTTCTCCACCTTTTCCCTTTCTTTCTTCTCCCAACAAACCTTTCTACCCCCCCTTCTTCTAACCTCTGCCTTACCGGCTTCCCTTCTCTGTCGTATTCCTTTTCCCTTTTGTTTACTATCATCATATTGGTTTTGCACCTTATTTTTCCCTTTCTTAAATGTTTTTTTAAATCTTAAGTCCTTTAGTTTTCTTCTTTTCTCTCTTCCTTCTTTCTTGATCAAATTCTGAGATTCATTAAAGATGGCTCCTTCCTTTCTTTCTTGTTCCTCTGCTGTCTTCATCTGCTGTAATGTTTGTTGATAGTTAATAAGCGCCATTTCTAGAAAAAGGAAAGCTTCTTCCACACCATCTTTACCATTTTTTTTTGCTTGTTCATATTCTTTTCTTAGTTCCTCAACAGAAAGAGCCATTATAAATCTTTTCTTTTCTTTTCCCTTTCTTTCTTCTTACAACAACCAGAATATTCAAAAGAAAATAAAAAAAATAAAACAGTCCCAAAGTTATCAGTCAGTCCAAACCAAGGCAGAGTTCTCACTTTCTCCTTCTGGGGTGATATCAATCAAAGAGAAAGAAAGTCCAAATCTGTTTAAAATCTTATTGCAATATCTTCTAGTCTTCAAATCCTTAAGGCATCTGCTCCAACAAAGTCTTAGCATACAAATATTTTCTTTTTAATCCTCTCTCTTCCCACTCATCGCTTAAAACCAATTTTCACCTAAAAAAAATAGGTTTCTTAATATCCAGTTATTTATTCCGTAGGAAAAGAGGGAAAGCTATCCTTTCAGCACCATCCAACAGCCGCTTTTTTCCTCTTCTGGCAGGTATTATTCAGAAAGTCATACTTTTCAGGAATTCTATTAAATATGTCTTAGAGTCCTAGGAGCCAAGAAAAACTTTCTCCTCTCAAGCACTTTCTCCACTTCCTCCTGCGCATTCTTACCCGGCTGCCAGCTTCTTTGTGGCGGCCATTACGGACCGCCGCTGCACCGTCCTGGGAAAAGGGGGTTCTGCCAGCCGGGGAGGGGGTCTGCAATACCCCCAACCCCTTCTCCGGATCCCCCCTACCTTCAGCTGCCCCTGCAGGGCAGCCTAGCTCCGTACCCGTCTGGGTCGGAGCCCCAGAAGCGGCTAGCGCGGCAGGGATCGCGCAGCTTCGCAAATCCCTGCCGCTCGCGAAGCCGACAAACCGGAAGTTTCCAGTATTGTGATATTGATCCTTGCACAAACCTTCTGAAGTTTCTAGTGAATAATATTTGTAGGCACTTGATCATCCAATCATGTGTCAGGAAATTGAGTGCCTTCTTGTAATCAATCCAAGCTATATTTTAAATGGGTTTTGATTTTCATGTCCAAAGGAGTCCTAGAAGTCACAGTCTCCTGATTCCTAGGTCAGTTCTAAAAGCGCTACACTAAGCTCTCTTATGTAGTTAATAAAGTAATATATTTTGCTTTTTCCTTAACAGAATGAATGTTCTGACTGTACAAATCAGCACATTGAAAGCTTGCTCTGCACGCCTATAAAAAATGGAAAGAAGAATAAAGTGATAGGTATAACATTTTGAAGTTTTCAATTATGCTTCAGTTTCTGTACTTAATGGGATTTTATTCCCACTGGAAATGGGGTGTGTGTGGAAGCAATGTGTGGAGTTTCTAAGATCATTCTTCACTAACAACCTATCCTTGTACATATCCATGTGCAATGAAAAGAAATGAATTTAGTATTAAGGTGTCATAGGGACAAATTTTGTATACTGACCTAAAATAAGTATTTTTGGAAAAACCTGGATAAATATAAATGTACTCTTCAAAATAAGATGCTTTGGATTAGGGAATTTGGGGTTATAGAAGAATGTCCTGGTTTGTGTAAAATTATGAAACAAACTATAGTAGTTTTCCTATAGGAAAAAGCACTTCATTTTCTGCAAAGTGGAGCACCTAAAGTTAGCTGATGATGTTGGCTCAGTACAATTCCATCTGAGCAGTGGTTTCTGAAATTTAGAATTCTGTGGGCTGGATCTTGGAGCACTATACTCTATGCCAACAATAAGCTTGGACTCACAGAATCCTGAGCCTATGGAAGATAGTCACTAATGCTTTTCTAGAACTTAAAAGGTCATGGACTACTATTACAGATAAGATCAATCTATTATTAATAAACTTTATTTTTGGCAAGAAAACAACATGTTTGGACTTTTATTTCACTTGTCCCATATTATGTGCTGACATAAAGTGCAAAACAGTTCTTCTTTAAGAAATTTTGTTATGAAAATGAAAGGCATCTTTGAGTCAAATATGCTTCTTTTATTCTTGTAAATCAGTGCACTGTAATGAAGTACTGTCATTTTTTAAAGCAAAATGTGCACTGTTGTGCTGTCTTACAGGTATTAAGCTACAAACATACAGTGGCAAACTTTATCCAGCTGTTTCTGAGAAACACTCAAGCAGTGCTAGATCGCTGGTCTTTATTGCCTCAAACCTTCAGGTCTTCACTCAGGCAGTTAAGGCTTAGATGCTTTGGGTCAGGGTGAGCAAAGCTCCATTTTGAAAAATACAACTCATTTTACTTCTGAATGCCATTTAATTATCTTATTTTGTTTTAGTGGCACGTATGGTTTTTCTTTCTCCAAAGTCACCTTGTTTGACTTAGACAGTCATGTAGAATAGAATAGAAATAGAATAGAATAGAATAGAATAGAATAGAATAGAATAGAATAGAATAGAATAGAATAGAATAGAATAGAATAGAATAATTCTTTATTGGCCAAGTGTGATTGGACACACAAGGAATTTGTCTTGGTGTATATGCTGTCAGTGTACATAAAGAAAAAATAAAATATATTCATCAAGAATCATAAGATACAACACTTAGTGATAGTCATAGGATACTAATAAGCAATCAAATCATACTAGGAAACAATAAAAACAATATAAGTTGTAAAGATACAAGCAACATGGATATAGCCATAAGTGGGAAGAGATAGGTACTAGTAAGGATGATAAGAAGAATAGTAATACAGTCTTAGTAGTTAATTTGCCAGTATTGTGGGAATTAGTTGTTTAGCAGAGTGATGGCATTCGGGGAAAAACTGTCCTTGTGTCTTGTTGTTCTGATGTGCAGAGCCATATAGCATTGTTTTGAGGGTAGAAGTTGAAACAATTTATGTCCAGGATGTGAGGGGTCTGTAGATATTTTCACAGCTCTCTTTTTGACTCATGCAGTATACAGGTCCTCAGTGGAAGGCAGGTTGGTAGCAATTATTTTTTCTGCAGTCCTAACTATCCGTTGAAGTCGGTGTCTGTCTTGCTGGGTTGCAGAACCAAACCAGACAGTTATAGAGGTGCAGGTGACAGACTGAACAATTCCTCTGTGGAACTGAATCAGCAGCTCCATGGGCAGTTTGAGCTTTCCGAGTTGGCGCAGAAAGAACATTCTTTGTTGTGTTTTTTGATGACATTTTTGATTTAGGTGTCCATTTTAGGTCTTGAGCTATGATAGAACCTAGAAATTTGAAGATCTCTACTGTTGATACTGTGTTGTCTAGTATTGTAAGAGGTGGTAGTATGGGAGGGTTTCTCCTAAAGTCTACCACCATTTCTATGGTTTTGAGTGTGTTCAGTTCCAGATTGTTCCAGTCTCACCACAAGGCAAAGTTGTTCAACCTCCCGTCTGTATGCGGATTCATGTGACCAATCACTGTTGTATCATCTGCAAACTTCAGTAGTTTAATAGATGGATCATTTGAGATGCAGTCATTGGTATATAGGGAGAAGAGAAGTGGAGAGAGCACACAGCCTTGGGTGTGGGGCTGTGCTAGTTGTACAAGTATCAGGTGTGATTCTGCCTAGCTTCACCTGCTGCTTCCTGTCTGTTAGGAAGCTTATGATCCACTTACATATTCTAAATAAATAATACATTTTGAAAATGTAAAAATTAGCAAGCATATCAAATTAGTATGAATAAAAATAAAATTAGCATAAATGGTCACTTGGTGATCCTATCTTATTCCCAGCATCTTTGAGCTATACCAAATGCCAGTGAAGTAATTAAAGTGTTGGACTAGTATTGAGGCTATCCAGATTCAAGTCCAATGTCATTTATCAAAAATCACTGGATGACTTTGGATCAGTTATTCTTTTACAGTCCAGCTGGTGTCATAGGTTTGTTGTGGGGATAAAGAGAAGCAAGATCTCACATAAGCACCTTGGAGTTATTGAAGGAAAAGAATAGTATGAAATAAACAAGAAAGCACTGATATGTTAAATTTTTAATTATTAAAACTTCTAATTTTAATTGTTATTTTTTTCAGTTGTATTTTTTCCATTTGATTTGCTTCTATGGGATGGTTATAACTGACTTTTCCTGTACTTACATTAGCAGTGTTTTTTAAATTATCAGTGACTTGTGGTGGTATGGACAATTTCAGCCAATTTCTTAACAAAATACTTTGAAACAGAACTGAAAGGTGGTCAGTTATCTGTGAGGAGTTCACGTATGAATAAATTCTTAATTAAGCTACAATTCTATAGATATGTTCTACTTCCAGATAATAGAGTTTCCAACATAGATTCCTAAGTGAAGAGAAGTGCTGCATTAAGCACTCACCCTGAATGATGCCAAGAGACCTACTTGAATGTAGCAGATAATTGGTCAATTAATAAACTAGTGATATTTTCTCTGTAGTTGAAATGCAGATTAATATACATATAATTTGCAATTTTCAAATAAGAATATACAAGCCTCGGGTGTACTAACCTCATATTCATTACAGCATTTTGGCATGCTTATAAACATTTAATGAGTTTGTAAAGGACAAATTGTCTTTAGGGATTTCATCAAACTAAAGGTTTATTAATAGCAAAAGCCAAGAAGAAAATTAAGACTTGGGAGGGGTAGATATTCCAATGTTCAACTTGATGTTTTGTTTACAGCAAACCCCAATGCCTATATAAGGAGAAGGAAGCACCATTGACTCAAATGAAGCTAGCTAATTTTTTTGAAATTTGTACACCAGTATATGAAGATTCAGAATTAAATGTCTGCTTCCACATAGCCTGAATTAATTTTCTTTAAAATGTTGTGGCTGACTAGTACAATATGTAATTTTTTGTTTGAATCCCTGGACTTTTTAAAATTACTGCTTAATTACTGATTAATGCTAACCAATTGCCTACTTTTTCAAGGGTATCTTTTTTTTTATTTTTTATTATGACTCAGGAGTTTGTCAACTTGCAAACAAGATGGAAGAAAACTCAGGCAAAATAAAAGCTTTCAATAGAAATGATGAACAGTTTTTGGAAGCTTTTGTCATATTCTGTGGCTTAGGGATCCAGAACACCCAGATGTATGAAACTGTGGAAAGAGCCATGGCAAAGCAAATGGTGACATTAGAGGTAAGAATAAATCAAGGGAATCTTTATGCACTGTTTCTTTCTTGGAATTCTTGCCGACTTTAAAGCAAACCCAATGTTGCTCAGCTACCACCTGAGGCTCTCTCTTATTGACTCTGTACTTCTATATTTCCATGTGCTTGCACAGCACTAGTGGATTATCACTTTTGTGAGACCCAGCAGCGAACACAACTACTGTGTTCTCTAAACATATTGCATGGTGGCAAGTGTGATCAATGTAGGTGGTTTGCCTTCTTGTGTTAAAAAAAAAAGACATGATTGTGGCACTGGGACATTCTTCTCTTACCTATGTTTGGTTTCCTCTGATGGTTTTGGTCCAGCCCTTCAAACAAGTCATAGCTGGGATAACGGCAAGGTTACTATGGAATTCCTCGACACTACAATATTTCATCAATCCATATTAAGAATGGGTGTCATCTTGCCTAGCCTTTAAATTTTCATTAATTATAATGCACATGTTATGAATGAGAAGTCAAGAGATCCCAATGTGCTCTTAACATTCTCCAAAATAACCTGAGAAATCTAAAGCAGGGGTGTCAGACTCTATTTCATTGAGGGCCACATTGGGTTTGTGTTTGACCTTGGGTGGCTGGGGTGGGTGTGGCCAGGCTGCGTGTGGCCAGCTCAGCATCACTTTGGTCAGGGGTGTCTGTGGTGGTCTGAGTGCCAATGAAAAGGGGTCCTGAGCTCCATTTTTGGCTGCCACAGCCTACTGCAACCCTCTGTCAGTGAAAATGGAGCTCAGGTGGGCCACATGTGTTTTCAGTGGCAGAAGGTTGCAGGAGGCCGTGGCAGCCAAAAACGGAGCTCGGGACTCATTTTCACTGGCAGAAGCACAGTGGGCTGGTCCTTCACTGTTTCCCCTGTGGGCCAGATCTAAGTACCCCACAGGCTGGATCCAGGCCCCAGGCCTTGATTTTGACACCCTTGATCTAGACATTGGCTACTCTTTTATTAACATAGTAAACAAAGTACAGTATTTCTAAAATTCAGATGCTAATAATAGTGCTGAAGGGAAAATTTACATGCACAACTGCATTTAGTTGCTCTGGTTGCATTGAATTATAGGATTCTTTTGCAAAAGTGTGTGAACATTACTTGACACAGTCTTGAGTGTATTGCACTCTACTAATTCAGGTAGTTTAATATTTAAGGGAAAATATATCCTTATGGAAAAAAAAGTGTTACAGATTAAGGTTATAATTTCAGCTGCATGAAATACTAGTTAAATACAAGTTCAACTCAAAAAGTAAAATTCTTCTCTCCTTCACTCATGGCTGTAAATAATTCTCATTTTGTTCAGTAAATTAAAAATATTTTCTCTTACACAGGCAAAACTTCTGCCAAGGTTTTCCTAAGACAGAATTTCTTTTATGCCCTGTCTTATGGACCCTTGGAGAAATCTAATTTATTATGGCAACTTTGTTAGGATTATAATTATAGCTATGTTGTCAGCTATTTGTCATTCATATAGGTACATGGAAGATTTTGTTTTTCATAAAGGAAAAAGAGTTCTTTGCAAATTCATTTAAAGCAATGTTGTGCCTTTTCCCCCTATGGCTGACCTCAGGATTCCTGTATGCTAGCAGGGTCCAGCAATATGATCGTACTGTTCTCCATCTAAAATTAATACCTAAAAAAAGAAAAGAAAACCCAAGCAGAACATTTATTTTAATTTAGTAAAGAAATATTTAAATATTTACTGCTTCACTGCTATGCATTTAAAATTAATTATACTGTTCATTATCAGTCAATATAAAAGATATAAAAGATAAAAGATACATTTCTAAATTCTTGCCACTAATGAATCATCCAAAGTACTGCCATTACTTCAGAGTTAATACCAGTAATTAATAAAATGATTTAAGAATTATCATTAAGAACACAATGTTCTTTTCCAGCATTATTTATCTTTCTCTAATTTACCTAAATTATTACTTAAATTGCACCTGAATCAAATAAAATCTACAAATTATTAGTCTGCAAAATCATGTTAAATATTCCTTTCAATTTGTTAAGAAATATTCAATTAACATTAACCACAGAGGGCAGAAGAGCCAGTTTGGTGAAGTGATTAAAATCACTAGGCTAGAAACAGGGAAGCTTTAAGTAAAAAAAAAAAAAAAAGTGTAGCTGGGGGCCAGTTACTCTTGAAAAACTTTGGGAGTGAAGGTGTCTATCAACCATAGTTTGTAAAGATCAGCAGTTTATCCTACTCCTTTACTTTGGTTTATACCAGAGCAGTCAAACTGCCTGCCCACAGCTAGATGCATCACAGTTTAGCAAGGGGAGAGAAGTTCTGATACATCATGAGATGCCGCCATGACAATGAGAATTTGACACCCCGGGTTTACACTGACTCATTATTGATAAAATGCTTTAGATTTTTAGTATTACAGCTTTAAGTGTTGCTGAAAGATTAGTGTCTTTTCTTTCCTTCTAAGGTGCTGTCCTACCATGCATCAGCTGCTGAAGAAGAAACAAGGGAGCTTCAGGTAACAGCGGTAATGCCATTTTCTTTTTTCTCCAGTATATCTAGTCCATAAGTACTGAAGATGCAGTGGAGCAGAGTGAATTATGTTTTAAAAGCATATGTCAATATACTCAGTTGTTCTAAGTTATTCTTGCTTTTGGCTTGAAGATTCAAGATGACGATATCCTAAAGTAGCGGCTTTGCTAAAAATACAGTAATTTGAGCTAGGTTTCAAGGTTCAAGACAAGCTAGCACTGCCCTTGTGCATGCTTCTTTGATTCTGGAAGCTATATTCAGTCGGCAATCCATGGACAATTTATGAATGTAGCTATCTATATGTTCATTTGTTGCTCCTATATTTTTAAAAGTTTCAGTAGATGATCCTAAGTCCATTTTTCCTTGTAACAAACTGCTTCAGATCTATTCTAACATGAAAATCCCTGCCCAATTTTACAATTTTAAAAAGTAAACAAGAGGGAAATTGGGAGCATACAAATCTGATTAGCACCAGGTGAAGCAACATTCATCCCCTTGTCCTTTTCTAGGTATAACAGCAGCTAAATTTCAAAAGAATCAGGATTAGTGCTCAGATCCAGGTCTCCTTCCAGTTAACTCCAGCTCAGGGATTAAAAAGCAGGTGTTTTTTTTTTTAATGATTTAGTCGTCTTTTATAGTGCAGGGTGGAGCAGAAAATCGACCTTCCCTTCCTCCCTCTCTCCTTTCCTCCCTCCCTCCTCCTCAAGTTTCTTGATCTAGGAACATATTGTGATGGTGGAAAAATAAACATTTTCTAGCAGAAACTTATTTCCAGAGGGACACTCTAAATTTATAACCGATGCAGATGCAACTTTGTTCACTAAGAAACCATTGCATGAGAAGAGCCTACCTCAAATTCACATTAAAATGCATGTGGCATTGTCTTGAACTCAAAATTTCCCATTTTCAGTGGATAACAATAGTATGTGGGAATTAGGGCTGTATTTTAAAACATACTGTAGTAACCTACAATATATTTTCAATTAGGTAAAATCATTAAAACAGCATTTTGAGTATACTTCTTGTGTGAACTATGCTGTATCTGTTATATTTTTAATTTATTTTAAAAGTTCTGCAATATGCTAAAGAGGCCCATCCAGCCCACTGTGGACCATAGGTCTTGCCAATTTTTTTGAATTTCAGCATTTGTCCAACCAGGTCATGCGCTATCCTTACACTGCAATTGATTATTTTGGGGGTGGGGGGAGTGGAGTGTTAGGTATATTCGCTGCTCTACTTGGAGAAGAATTAGGAAGCAAAGTTAGAATAATATAAAGGGGTATAGAGAATGGAAGTGTATGAATTCAATTCAACATTATTATATTTCTTTTCTTAAATATTTAATTTGTTTTACTTAATAATTCATATTTCTTTTTTGTACATTTAATAATATTGTTTAACCCCCACAAAAATAGAGTGATAGGTATGAATGATATGCCTAAACATATTAAACATAAATAAATGTTTATAAGGTTGGGGTTTTTTGCAAGAGCAATTAGAATATACAAACAGGATAGACATTGAGAGTTAGATAGCTATCAAGTTCATGAGTGTGTTTGTTCATTTGGCTAATAGTGAAGAAATCTGGCATTAAATTTTCTCATGTAGTGCTTAGTTAAATTTGGGAACAAATATTTACTTTTCAGGTACATAAAATTTTGCCTGAGATCTCTGACTTTTAACCAACATGTTTTAAATATATATCTTTGAGTTTAGATTGAATGAGAAATATTAGTCATCTAGTTTATAAAAGAACTTTTTTGTATAAGTATTTTTAACCAAGAGGTTTCAGTTATATTAACCAGATAATGTGTCCTCTTTTGAAACATGCACTTTTCTACATTACAAGTATATAGTTAACGTTATACATGTGTTGGGGACAGATTGTAATCTGTACAAATTACAAGTATTTGCATATAAATCCATATTTTTGCTTAAATATGCTAGGAAGCTGAATAAATTAGGAAGATGTTATTCCAGCGATCTCAAATTAACTCATCTTTTCCATATGTTACAATGTTTCCAAAGTTGTTTATATGGGAGGCTGGACAAGTTTTCCTTAGCTGTAGTATTTGCTTCTTCACCTGAGTAGCCATTTTGAAAGTTGTATCCCATATACAATGGTATGGAATGTATCTAGGCTCCTGCAATATGACTAAAAATATTACACTAGTCCCCTGGTTTAATGTATTGTTTTTAAAAAGTAAAGAACAACACACTAATCCAAAACATAAAAACTCCAAAAACTCCAGTTCCACCCACAGGAACCCCTAATGCTTTACATCAGGGGTGTCAAATACGTCACAACGGCATCACATGATGTATCAGGACTTATCCCCCCTTTGCTAAACTGGGCATGGGCATGGTCAGCACGTGATGCATATATATAATTAATGCATATGGAATAAAAGCCTATCTTTCATAAAATCAGACTATATTATTCCAATATTGTCCCAAAAGTCTTTTTTCAAAAGGCAATGGACGTGGGACAACCATGACCTGGATGAGTGAGAATCTCCATAGACATTTATTCCATTATTAGTTGTTATGAGAGGAACAGCTCTCTTCTGTGGTTGAATTACATCCAGGTGACATGGTGCTTTGGTTTATTCATTTAGTATTTATTTATTTATTTATTTAGTCAAACAATTATTAGATAACAGGTATAAGTATAAACATGGTTATAAATACATGAAATGGATACGAATAAGAAAAAAAAAAGAATAGAACAGGGACGGTAGGCACGTTTTGGTGTGCTTATGCACGCCCCCCAAAGACCTCTTAGAAAAAGGGTGAGGTCAATTGTAGACAGTCTAATGTTGAAGATTTTGGGGTTTGAGGAAGAAACCACAGAGTCAGGTAGAGTATTCCAGACATTGACTACTCTGTTGCTGAAGTCGTATTTCCTGCAATCAAGTTTGCTGCGGTTTACCTTGAATTTGTATCTATTTTGTGGTCTTGTATTGTTATGGTTAAAGCTGAAGTATTGATTGACAGGTAGAACATTGCAATGTATAATTTTATCTACTATGCTTAGATCGGACCGAAGGCGGCATAGTTCTAGGTTTTCTAGGTCTAGAATTTCAAGTCTGGTGGCATAAGGTATTCTGCAATGAGTAGAGGAATGGAGAACTCTTTTGTGAAATATTTCTGGACTTTCTCAACTGTATTAATATCAGATACATAATGTGGGTTCCAGACTGATGAGCTGTATTCAAGTATTGGTCTAGCAAATGTTTTGTATGCTCTAGTTAGTAGTGTGATATTACCAGAGAAAAAGCTACGTAGGATTAGGTTAACAACTCTTAA